AAAGCAGGAGCAGTTTGCCCAGGCACATTCAATTCCTCTGCTGTGTCCAGTCTCAGGACTGTCACCAAAGCTGAGACCTGAAGGCTAAGGAGGAATTAGGTGAGGGTTGATGGTGCAGGGAGAGAGACAAGCATGGGTCCAGGCGAGGGAGAGGACATGTGTAAGAGCCCAAAAGATGGCCATAGTGGATGGCCCAGGTGTGTGGGCCGGTGTGGCTGGGAGTGTGGCGGGAGAGGCGGGTAGGGCTGGATCTTGCAGGGCCTGAGAGCAGAAGGAAACTGCTGGCAGCTCAAGGGCAAGGATTTACTTTCAGAAAAGATGAGTCTGGCCCTGGCTGAGAACTGTCTGGAGAGGGCACGAGCTGATCAGGGAGACTGAAGTGGTGTTACCTGTGGGGATGGAGACCACTGGGCACAAGAGGATGTTCAGAAGCTGGGCTCAGCAGGGCTCGACTGGGTGTGGGAACAAGATTGCCAACTGTTTCCAGCTCTGATGGTGGAGCCATTTATCAACATGGGTATGTAGGAGGAGAAGCAGTTTGTGGGATTTTTTGAGAGAATGGGATATGATTTTGTTGTGTTTGAAGTCCTAAGCCTGGGGTATGATGAATGTGGGCTTTGGAGTGAGAGTTGGGTTCAGTCCTAGTTCTACCACCTACTAGGGATGTGATCTTAGGTAGGTCACTTCTCTCTCTGGGGAACTGACTGATTACATCATCAATGCAATGGGGATGGTAATGCCTCCCTCATGGGGTTTTTGGGAAGATACAAATAGATAATATAAGTGCCTGGCATGATGTCTGGCACATAGGAAATGCTCGATACATGTGAATTTCTTTCCCTTGTTGGGGGTGGGGACCACATGGGAGTAGGAAGCAGTTGGGGAGGGGTCAGCAGCCTGTCCTTGCCCCTGCCCTCAGCTGAGCTCGGGCTCAGGTGAGAGCCCTCTGCCCAATCGGGCTGCGTCTCCAGGTACAGGGGCCTGCCAGCCCCATGCTGGCTACTTGCAGCACCCCTTTTTCACCCCTAGGGAAGCGCTGCGAAGGCAGCTTATGGCTGCCGAACAGGAGGATGACGCGGAGGGTGTGTGCAAGCCTCTGTCCTGCGGCTGGGAGATCACAGACACCCTGTGCGTGGGCCCTGTCTTCACCCCGGCGAGCATCATGTGAGCGGGCCTCGTTCCCCCTGGAGAACCCCAGCGGGGCCTCAGAGATGCCTCTGGGAGAGGTGGGGAAGATGGCAGGCAAGGGTACCCTTGACCAGGACTCTGGTGCCCACCCTGCCGCCCCCGTGCTCCACCTGTAGTGTTTCTGCCCTGTAAATAGGACCAGTCTTACACTCGCTGTAGTTCAAGTATGCAACATAAATCCTGTCCCTTCCAGCTGTGTCTGCCTCCTCTGCAGCGCAAGGGGCCTGGTCAGCCAGGTGTGGGGGTTTTCGTGGGGTCTCCTCTGGTCTCCTTCCACCTTTGTAAATATAATGCAATAAATAAATATTTAGGTTTTTTAAAACTGCAGCGGAATCTGGCCATTCGATTCACAAAGCAGCCTGGGCTAGGCCTGGTGCAGGATTTCCCCACCACGCACTGATGAGCCCACACCCTCTGCCTCAGTCCTGAGCCCTGGCTGCAGCATGCGCCTCCCGCACTGGCACTCACCGTCTCTGACTCATCTCTCTCAACCTCATGGGCCTCCAGTCCTGGTGCCATAAAGAAGGGGCTGCTGTCAGGGACTGAGATGGGCAGTTACGTAGCTCATAACTGGTGAATGGCCTTTGTGTTAGCCCAACACCCAGCCTAAGGCCTGACCCAGAGTAGGGGCAATGGAGTATTTAACACAGCTGTGGAAATTCATACCGAAGATACAGAGCCAAGAAATGGGTGTGCGGGAGGTTTTGAGTGCACCCTGCACCTTTGCTCTCCCTGCAGGTTGGCAAGGCAGTCAGAGTAAAGCAAACACCTGGTGGTCGGTTTTGCTTCTTTGGGCAGTGCCTGTTAGAACAGGGCTGGCCACGGAGTATTGCTGTGTCCAGTGCCGACAGCCCTGACATCCCCTGAGACTGGCAGTGCTTATCAGGACAAAGGCTTCTTCACACCGCCGGGTTCCCAAATTATGCACCTGGGGTGTGTGAGCTGTTGAGCAAAGGAGTTCAGATCCCACACAGTGGCTGCAGGGGAATCTGAATATTTTTCTGCTGCAATTAAAAGATTTGAGATATAATTAACATGCAATCAAATTCACCCTTTTAAAGTGCAGAAGCCTTGGCATGGTGGCTCACACTTGTAATCCCAGCACTTTGGGAGGCTGAGGTGGGTGATCACCTGAGGTCAGGAGTTTGAGACCAGCCTGGCCAACATGGCAAAACCCCATCTCTATTAAAAATACAAAAATTAGCCGGCTGTGGTGGTATGTGCCTGTAATCCCAGCTACTCAGGAGGCTGTGGCAGGAGAATCGCTTAACAGGGAGGGGAAGGTTGCAGTGAGCTGAGGTTGCAGTGAGCCAAGATCATACCACTGCACTCCAGCCTGGGCGACTGAGCGAGACTCCATCTCAAATAAAGAAAGAAATAAATAAAGTGGAGAAGTCAGTGGTTTTTAGTGTATTCAGAGTTGTGTAACCATCACCACTATTAATTCTAGGATGTATTTATCACCCTAGAAAGAAATCCCATACCCATTAGCAGTCACTCTCCATTTTCCCCATTCCCAAGTCCCTGATGACACAAATCTACCTTCCATCTCTATGGATTTGCTTACTCTGGACATCGTATTGTGATGGATTTTCTATCTTCACTTGACCTTCTCTCTGGGTAAGCCTGGCCATCCTGCTTCAGTATCTCAGCCAGTCCTGGGAACTGCACGTGGCTTTGAGGTCATCTCATGAGGCAATGTGGCATGGTTTGGAGTAAACAAGGTGCTTTCTCAAAGCAAGGGTGTCTTCCTTTCCAGGGATCTAGTTTTTGGTATCTTGACAATAAATAGGCTGAAAGCTTGGGATATCAAGAGACTCTGGGCAATCAGAAAGGGTTACTCTACTACCCCATGATCCACCAAAGCCATGATTTACAGGTGTTACCATGCCTGTAATCGTCTATCAGACTCTTTCTGAGACTTCTTCCATCTCAGATTCCAAGCACTCACACTTCTTTTCAAGGGAGGGACATAGGTTTTTCTGCTGCAACCAGGTATCTGCTGTGAAAAGCACAAGAATCCTGGGGAGATCTCATGGCTGGCTGCAGTGAGACCCAGGTGTAGCTGATTCCCTCTTCTGAGCAGGTCCACTGAAGGGACGTTCTGTGGCTTTTGAAATGACAGTGGCCATCGTGGAGTTTGAACAGATTTCTCACTGGAGCCTTTCTAGTGTTTCCTGTTCCATTTGCAGCGAGGATGTGAAATTTACTTTTCCAAGAAAGATATGCACAGAATTTGATGTGGCTTGAGGATAATAGTTAATAGTCATTTTTTTCCCAGTTGTTTTTATTTCTTGTTTCAATCTTTTTCTAAAGAGACGAAAAAAGCCTGAAACGTGGAGAATGGTAAGGGGCTTCAGGCTTGTGCAGGTGAATCTAAGCAGGGGTCTCCCGGCCCCCTGGCTGCATGGGCACTGCCTCCTCTAAGCTCCCTGCTAAGCAACCCACTGGCAGTGGCTCCTCATGCCTCCTGGCTGCCTTGGAAGCCAGATGTTCCTGTTGGCCTCTCACAGATCCATCCTTCCCCGGGGCCTCACCTGAGGAACATTCTCTTCCCAATGCCTCCCTACAACCCACCTGTGCCTCCCTGAAGCCCCCCCGCCCCCCGCTCGTGCTCACTCTCTCTCATTCTCTCCCTCAAGGAGTTAACAGACCTGAGCTTCCATCTTCTCATACTCGAGCCTGGCCCCTTCTTCCCCTTTCCCCTCCACAGTCCATCCTCCACTTAGCAGCCAGATGCCGTACCTCCTGGGATTCCATGTCACCAAGAATGAAATTTAAAGTCCTTGGCCAACTGGCTCTCCACCTCCCACACTTCCCTCTCACACACTGAGTCCTGGCCACACTGGCTTCCTCCCTGTTCCTCAAATACTCCACTGCTGGGCATGCATTTACTGTCCCCTCTCTAGAATGATCTTCCTGGGTTATCTGTGGGCCTCACTCACTTCATTCAGGTTCTGTGCCAATGTTTTCTTTAGGTGAAGCCTTCTGGATCACCCTTTAGAAAACAGCATGTCCCAGTCTCTCTCTTTTCTCTTAACTGGTTTTCTTTTTCTTCGTAGCACCTACCACCACTCAACATACTCTATAACTCCATAATGTGTTCCATAACACAAGGGCAACTGTCAGCCCTTCTAGAATGTGAGCTCTAGGCTCTTGGAATAAACCTGATTTATTTTTTCACTGCTGTGTCCTTATCACCTAGAACGGAGTAGGTGTTCAAAAAGCATATGCCGGATGGGCAAATGAATAAACATGTCTGAATCTGTCTGAATAAACATGCTCTTAACCTGTCTGAATCTGTTTACTCATTTGTACAATGTGGCTGATAACTATATTTCCCTCAGAGGGTTATTGTGAAGATAAAATAAGAAAATGGGTATAAGGCCGGGTGTGGTGGCTTACGCCTGTAATCCTAGAACTTTGGGAGGCCAATGTGAGCAGATCATGAGGTCAGGAGTTTGAGACCAGCCTGGCCAAAATAGCGAAACCCTGTCTCTACTAAAAATACAAAAAATTAGCTGGGTGTGGTGGTGGGCGCCTATAATCCCAGCTACTTGGGAGGCTGAGGCAGGAGGATCACTTGAACTGGGAGGCAGAGGTTGCAGTGAGCTGAGATCACACTACTGCACTCCAGTCTGGATGACAGTGCGAGACTCCATCTCAAAAAAAAAAAAAAAAAAAAAAAAAGAAAGATACAAAAAATTAGCTGGGCATGGTGGCACGCACCTGTAATCCCAGCTATCTGGGAGGCCGAGACAGGAGAATTGCTTGAACCTGGGAGATGGAGGTTGCAGTGAGCCGAGATCATGCCACTGCACTCTGGCCTAGGTGACAGGGCAAGACTCCATCTAAAAAAAAAAAAAGAAAAGAAAATGGGTATAAAGTACTTAGTCCAGAACTTTGCACGTCATGTGGTGCTCAATAAGTGAGGTTGAAAGGTAATTCCTGAGCATTTAGTGAGCACTTACTGTGGCTATAGCCCATGGTAGATGTTGGTGATGCAGAGGTGAGTCCCTCTGAGTTCTCAGGGAGCTCACAGTGCAGCGTGGTCACAGAGGACCTTGAATTACAGAGCCAGAAGTCCGAACTTAATTCTGTAGGCAGTAGGGAGCCCTCTATGCTTCTGGAGCAGAAGCAGCACGTCAGGATCTTCGGGAAGATTAATTGAAAGTGTATTCAAAATAAAAAACAAAAGGAAAAAAAAAGTATATTCAAAAGGGGTGGAGGAAGGAGACCTTCAGGGCTGGTAGTGGCATGTGCTTCCTTCACCTCTGCCCACAGTCTGAAAGGCAGACACAGCCAGGAAACTTTTGTATTTATTTATTTTTATTATACTTTAAGTTCTAGGGTACATGTGCACAACATGCAGGTTTGTTACCTATGTGTACATGTGCCATGTTGGTGTGCTGCACCCATTAACTCGTCATTTGCATTAGGTATATCTCCTAATGTTATCCCTTCCCTCTCCCCCCACCCCACGACAGGCCCTGGTGTGTGGTGTTCCCCACCCTGTGTCCAAGTGTTCTCATGGTTCAGTTCCCACCTATGAGTGAGAACATGCAGTGTTTGGTTTTCTGTCCTTGTGATATTTTGCTGAGAATGATGGTTTCCAGCTTCATCCATGTCCCTACAAAGGACATGAACTCATCCTTTTTTATGGCTGCATAGTATTCCATGGTGTATATGTGCCACATTTTCTTAATCCAGTCTGTCACTGATGGACATTTGGGTTGGTTCCAAGTCTTTGCTATTGTGAATAGTGCCGCAATAAATATACGTGTGCATGTGTCTTTATAGCAGCATGATTTATAATCCTTTGGGTATATACCCAGTAATGGGATCCAGCCAGGAAACTTTGAGGAGGTCAGAGACACAAGTTGTCAACTCTATTCACACCGGCTCAGAGGGAGATGGTGGCTCTCTGGGTGGGAGTCATCCCTCACCTAGGAAACCCACCTGCCCAAGCCATCTCATTCAAGTTGTAAGGGGAACAAAGGGGAGGCAAGAGGACGGGGGTTCCACTCATCCCTTTGCTCCATTTTAAACCCTCTTCCTGGCACCCTTCAGATAAACAGATAAGCCTGGGTAAATTCAATCAGTAAAATGATCTGATTGTCAGTCCTCTGCTGAAAGTCCTTCAGTTGATTCCCACTGCAATGCCAATAAAAGCTAATTTGCCTGAGACCACTGCCCATCTCTCCCACTTCATCTCATGCCACTTTTTTCTCACATTTCAGTTTCTCACATTTACTGACTTCTTTCCTGCCTCCAAGTGTCTGCTTTCGCTGTTCCCTTAGCTACTCCAGCGTTGGCTCATTCTCATCTTAAAGGCCTCAGCTTGAATGTTGCCATCTCAAGAGGGCCTTTTCTAAACATCCTGTTCAAAGTAGCCCCCACCAACTTATGTAGTCATATTTTACAGGAATTAGGTTCTAAAGACAATATTTAAGGCAAGAAGCATATGGTCAAACTTATCATTGAAAATCCCTTAGAAAACTATCATATTGGAGTCTTGTTCATCACACCCTCTTTCCTTTTTGTAACATGCCAGACACACTTATAACCCCAAATCTCTGCATAGATCTCTCTTCCCCACCCCTTCAGGTCTTTGCTCAAATGTAGTGTTCTCATGGAGGCCTTCCTGACTACCCACTTCAGGCTGGGAGTGATGGCGCATGCCTGTAATCCCAGCACGTTGGGAGGCTGAGGCAGGAGGATCACTTGAGCCCAGGAGTTTGAGGTCAGCCTGGGCAGCATAGTGATACCCCATCTTAAATAAACAAAAAAACTGTAACATTTCCATTCCCGCCCCAGCATTCTATAATCCCCTTCACAGCCTTACTTTTTCCTCCATAGATCACCCTCTAACATATTATACATTTTACTTAGAATTAAGTTCTGAGAGCAAAGGTTTGTTTATTTTGTTCACCGCTGGGTCCACAGTGCCTAGAATACTGCTGTTCATACAGATGTTCAAGAAATAATTACTGAATGAAGGAATGAATCTTTCAGGCCTCAGCTTGGGTGTTTCTCTCCTTTCTCTTACTTCCTGTGCCTTGATTAGGGGTTCCATCTCTAGGCTTTCATGCATCCTGTATTTATCCCTATTAAAGAACTACTGATCACAACGTACTGTAGTTTTCCTCTCTACATACTTGTCCTCCTGCATATCTAATCATGTTGATTTCACAAAGACAGGGAGTGTTTCTCCTACTTTCTAGTGCGATCTGGAACCTAAGACTGCTTAGCACAGAGTAGATACTTAGTGTCTTTTGAATAAACCAGTTTGGGTGGTGGTGGTGCAGTATCCCTGAATGAGAGTGGAGGATGTGGCTCCTTGTCAGTTCCTGAATAGGTCTAGACCCTGCAGTGGGAAGACTATTGACTGGAATGAGCTGTGGGCCTTTAAAATAACCTCAGGATTACACTTGGGAACAACCCAGCTCCATACACTAGTGAGCCCCAGGCAGGGAGGCATGTAGGACCCCCCAACAGTGCTTTCTCCTTTTCCACTCAGTTAGCTGACCTTGGGGTAGGATCATCAGATAAAATACAGGACATCCAGATAAATTTGAATTCAGAAAAACAATGAGTAATTTTTTAGCATACGTGTCTCATTGCAATATTTGGGATAGTCTTATACTAAAGCATTACTCGTTGTTTACCTGAAATTCAACTTCAACTGGGCATCCTGCATTTTATTTGCTAAATCTGGTAACCCTATTGTGGCAAGTCCCTGTATGCTGCATGTCCCTCTCTGGGTTTCGCTTTCTCCATCTGTGGAATGGGCACAGTTCTGTGAGACTTGCCTCAGGGATTCCTCAGGCGGAGCAAATACCCTCAAGGATCGTCCCTTTGTCCTGGTGAATCGTATGGGAAGCGCGCGTGTCTGAGGAGTTTCTCGCTGTGTAAATACGAGAAGCTCCTTCCTCCAAAAGCCTCCGTTTTCTCATCTGAGCACATGAAACCCTCAGAGCTGGAAACGATTGCCTAGCGGAACCACGACTGCTCAGCTTCCAGCCACCGGAACGCCATCTCACCACCCCCATCCCTTGAGGCCACGAACTTCCGGTAGCGAAAAGTCACTTCCGTATTCAAGAGCCTCCTAGGCTTCAAGCCATGCGATGTCTCGCCCTCTGGCGGCTGGGAGGAGGGAACGACTTTACCAAACAGAAGGAACAGGGAAGTCCATTGGTTGAAAAACGGAGAGGCACAGCTCCGTCTTCCAACCTCCACCAATGTTAAACCGAACCTTCGCCGAGGGCGGGGCTCTCACGGGAAAGAGGTCAACCCGGGACGGAGGCGGCGTGGGAAGAGGGCGACCTTGTCTCTGCTCAGCTGGAAAAAGGCCCGGCGTGACACCGGAAGTGGACTCCTTTGCGCATCAGCTACTTCCTCTTCTACTTGAAAAGGGGGATCTGGGTAAAAGAACCGAAAGGCTGTAGGAACTTAAGACTTGTCTCTGATGTCCTTCTCAACCCTCCATTCATATGTGAGGGAAAACACCTGCTGGGTTCACACAGAATATAAGGGACTTTGAAATAATTCTTGATCTTTAAGTCAAGGAGTTTTACATTTTAAAATAATCAAGCTTGCCTACTGCTTGCCAGGCCCTGCCCTCGCCTTCACTCGCATTATTCAATTAATCGACACAGGCCTGTGCATTGTGTCTTATGACAATGACCCTGACCCTCCACTGCCTGTGTTGGAATCCTAGTTCTGCCAGTTATTAGCTGTGTATCCTGGCCCAAGTTACTCTCTGCTATAGTTTCTGACTTTGTAAAATGGGATAATAGTACCTACCTTATACTATTGTTCTAAAGATAAATAACATATTTAGACTGGGCATGGTAGCTCACACCTGTAATCCCAGCACTTTGGGAGGCCGAGGGTAGAAGGGTTGTTTGAGCCCAGGAGTTAAAGACCAGCCTGGGTAAAATAGTGAGACTCCCTGCCTCTCCAAAAAAAAAAAAAAAAGTAAAGTTAGCCAGGCGTGGTGGCAAGCAGCTGGGGTCCCAGCTACTCTGGAGGCTGAGGTGGGAGGAGCATTGCTTGAGTCTGGGAGGTCGAGGCTTCAGTGAGCCGTGACTGGGGCACTGCACTCCAGTTTGGGCAACAGAGACCCTGTCTCCAAAAGAACAAAAAATTTAACATATTTAAAGCACTTGGAATAGCACCTGACACATGGTAACCACAGTAACCAGGTAAGTTATTTTCATTTACAAATTAGGAAATTGAGGCTTACATATGAAGTAACTTGTCTAGAACAGATAGCAACTAGTGGAGGCAGGTTGGGAAAAGTCTCTGCCTAATCTGAGGGGACTTCTTAATCACTATACCCGCCCAACCCTCTTCCTGTGTCTACAGGAAACCTGTGATGATCCTAATTGCCTTTAAAGCATCACATATATTTATTTGGTAGCACCCTATTACCAAGTGGCTGCTCTCTGGGCATTTTTGTAATTTTAATGAAGTTGGTAAGGTTCTATAACTTGTCTCTCAGATCAGGGGCAAGGCTTCTGGGAGAAGTCAGAATGAATGGCTTCAAGATCTACCTCCTGCTAAATCCTACTTATAGAAAAACCAGTAGAAATGAACTTCTGAACATGTTAAATTTGAGATCTTGTCAGATACCCAAGTGGAGATAATTGTGATTTGATGTGGTAAGTGCTGTGTTAGTGGAAAGCACAGGGCACCAAGGGAGGTCTGATTAAGGACAGATAAAACTGCTGACCAGGATTAGGACAGGCATGGCAGAAGCAGCAGGTCTTGGTGAATGAGTAGGAGTTGGCCAGGTAGAAAAGTCTGGGGAAGTTGAGGGGAGCATTCCAGACCAGGGGACTGGCGTGTACAAGAGAACAGCAGTTTGATGATTCAGAGCCCTTTCTGGGAACTGGAGTATAGGATGGAAGGTAAGAATGGAATGGAGATTGGGGGCATATTACGAAGAAGTGATCTGAGAAGCCCCCTTATCAACTAAGACAGACTCTAAGATTAAGGAAACAAAAGTAAAAGTTACCTATGAGTTGAGGGTTCATCATATGCCTCCTAACTCTGATTTACAACCCAAGACCGCTACAACTCTGATTGGACAGAGGAGTGGCCTTACAAACATTTTTTTTTGAGATGGAGTCTCACTCTGTTGCCCAGGCTGGAGTGCAGTGGTGCGATCTCGGCTCACTGTAAGCTCCGCCTCCTGGGTTCACGCCATTCTCCCTGCTTCAGCCTCCCGAGTAGCTGGGACTGCAGGCGCCCGCCACCATGCCTGGCTAGTTTTTGTTTGTTTGTTTGTTTGTATTTTTAGTAGAGACAGGGTTTCACTGTTTTAGGATGGTGTCGATCTCCTGACCTCGTGATCCACCTGCCTCGGCCTCCCAAAGTGCTGGGATTACAGGCGTGAGCTACTGTGCCCAGCCACAAACATTCTTTTCTCATAAAGAACTGCAGACCTTAAGCCAGTTTCACCAGCTGATAGAGGCTGTACACAAACTGTGTCCTGTGGTTCATCTTTTGATATAAAAAGCCAAATTCTACCTCATTTTAATGCTAAAATTCTGCCCCAAAGTGAGCATGAGATGATTGTTCCATATATGTTTACCCATTGTGCATGCACTCAACCCCCCTCATAAATATGTATAGCTCTCCCCCAAAATCTGCTGAATATATATGACTCTGTTGTGTAATATGGACCCTGTGAGGCATAAAACCCAACCTGCTCCTTCCTTCCTTGAAGAGAGAACACATTTGGTCCACACCTCCTGGTTTGCAAACTAATACACCCATAAAGCTCTCCTTTCTACTATTTACCCATTCTGGCGATCTTTTGCACAATAAAGGGTGATGTTCTGGAAGTATCAGCAAGGCATCAGAATTTCTGAGCAAGGAAGAGAGGAAGTCAGCTTTGCACATTATTTATTTATTTATTTTGAGATGGAGTTACTCTCTTGTTGCTCAGGCTGGAGTGCAGTGGGGGCAATCTCAGCTCACTGCAGCCTCTGCCTCCCGGATTCAAGCGATTCTCCTTCCTCAGCCTCTTGAGTACTTGGGATTACAGGCGTAAGCCATCACACCCACCTAATTTTGTATTTTTAGTAGAGACAGGGTTTCACCATGTTGGTCAGGCTGGTCTCAAACTCCTGACCTCAGGTGATCCACCTGCCTTGGCCTTCCAAAGTGCTGGGATTACAGGTATGAACTGCTGTACCGGGCTGCAGCTTTGCACTTTAGATGGTATACTAGGAGGCAAGGAAGAGGATGTGATAGGCAGTCTCTGAATTGTCCTTAATGATTTCACATCCCAGTATTCACACCCTGGTGTAATTTCCTCCCCTTGAGTATGGATGGAGTTTATTAATTCCATTCTAATGAATAGAATATGTTAGAAGTGATGGGTTGTCATTTCTGAGATTTGATTACAAAAAACTCCCTGTGGCTTCTGTTTTGGGCACCTTCTCTTGTTCTCTTGCTCACTTGCTCTTAGGGAAGACAGCGGCCATCTTGTGAACTTCCCTGTGAATAGGTCTATGTGTCAAAGAGTGGATGACTAATCAATGGCCAGCAAGGACTTGAGGCCTTCTAACAGCTGAGAGTGAGCTTGAAAGTAGATCCTCCCCCAAGCAAGCCTTAGAACGACTGCAGCCCCAGCCAACACCTGATTGCAGCCATGTGAGAGGCCCTTAGCCAGAGGACCCAGTTAAGCCATACCCAGATTCCTGACCCACAGAAAGGGAGATAACTAATATTTGTGGTTTTAAGTTTTACCTAATTTTAAGGTAATTTGTTATGTAGCAATAGATAACTAATACAGAGGGATTAGAAGCAAACAGAGAAGTAGGGAAATTAGGAGGGGGTAGTGGTTGTAGCCCATCTCTCTAATAATGAGAACCTGAATTGTGCAGTGGCTGTGCAGGTGAAGAGCAGAAGATGAATTTGAGATATGTCTGGAAAAAGAATAGAAGACATTTGGCAAGGGAGTTAGATGTGGGAAGGAGGGAGAAGGCAGAGGAGAGAGCAATGCCAGTATTTGGTAATGTGAGGGATGGTATTTGCTAGAGTTGCCACCATGCAGGTCACTGGGGATGAGTTTTAAAAGTGGCTCCTTGAGATTTCTGGCAACAACAAGATAGATCAACAAAGCAGACTCAAGGTTGGTCAAAGAAAACAGCCACTGTGGTCTGGGGAAGAAATAATGCAGAAAAATGGAATCAAAGGAGAGCTGGAGGGAATGCTCTTTCCTTAGTTTGATTTACTTGTCAAAGTGTATGGTATGCCATTCTCCTCTTCATCTAGCCATTCTCTCCACAAATATTTACTAAGTGCTTTCTCTGTGCTAGGCACTGGGGACACACAAGTAAACACACAAGTCCCTGCCTTCATAGTGTTCCTAACTTGGTTGCAGAGAAACAGTAAGATTGAGGCTAGGACTTTTTAGCCACTCCTGCAGGGCTCTGAGGGTCTAAATCTGTGCTGTCTGTTATAGCCACCGGCCTTCTGTGGCTATGAGACACTTGAAATGTGGCTGGTCCAAATTGAATGTGCTGTAAGTGTAAAATACACCCTAGCTTTCAAATATGTAGTTCAAAAGAAAAGATTGTAAATGATTTCAATAATTTTTAAATATTGAGTATTGATTTTAGTATTATCACTGGATAACATTTTGTATGTTTAAAATAAATAAAATAATTAAAATATATTATTTAAATTAATTTCATGTTTCTTTTTAAATTAGTGAAATTAATTTAAATAATATATTTTACTTATTTTGGCTATTAGAAAATTTAATAGCCAAAATACGGCTATTAGAAAATTTAAAATTAAAATTATATATTAAATATATCTCACATTATATTTATGTTGGACCTCACTGACTAAACCTGTATTCCCTACCAGCTTTATCTCTCAGTGACTTTAATTTTAGTTAATGAAAGGTTTTTTTTTTGGTTTTTGTTTTTTTTTCATTGAAAGTAACAGAAACTTTGAGGGGAAATGAAAATTAAAAGTTAGGGGAATTGATTGCAAGCGTCTTCTGAATCAAAGGGATGGTTGATTGAGCAGTCTGGGCAAGGAGCGGGCTTGAGGGGCCTCCGCAGCAGAGCTTCACAGGCGTTAATGTGACCGGACTCCATTTTTGAATTTGACATCCCACATTCCAATTTCTGAGAAGACAGACTCTGACCAGCTCAGTTTAAATCAGGTGTATCCACTCCAGATCCAGCTGCTATGGCTACGGGAAGAATGCACTGTG